TCAGCAGTTTGCTTCCAGTATTTTCCCATAAAGCACTAGACAAAAGACACAAATCATAAACCATTTGTAGGCTGCCGCATTACGCCCGTGGTTCTGGAAGGCTGAGCGGCGTGGAGAAAAACAAATGGAAAAGTATTATTCATGACCAATTGATCAATTAGGCTGCTTTTCATTAAAAAACATAAAAAGGCAGAACCAATTTAGCAATGGCTGTGTTCGAAGTGCGTAAAAACATTATTAATGTTGGATTTTTTTTTTTTCTCATTTATTCTCAGTTCTCTTTAGAAAATTACACTTGAGAGCTTTCTGTAGGGCAATTGAGGGAGTGGAGAAGACAGGACTGGAACCCTTTTGTAATGCTGATGAAGGTGCAGGGCCGGACACTGGTTTTAAGGCCTTTTCTGCGTACAGTTCTTTGTTTCAGAAGCAGAGACTGCCTTCTGGAATATCTGAGAGTATGAGATACCCAACCAGGGAAGTTACCTACTTGTAAGACTCATCCATCGTCCCATAAAGAAATCCAGTGGGAGCTTTTATGAATTTGACAATGGCTATCCTCCTGTGTTTTAGTGGTAAAATCTTATACGGTACAGAAATGTGGAAAACAAGAGGGAGTTTTTTCCCCTCTTGACTATATCAAAATACCATCTCCTGCCCCAGGGCTCTGCGGACTCATAACTTCCCTCTTGTATTATTCCTTTCTGTTTGCTTCCTTCCTAGTCCTTCATGGTTCTATATTTTTCAGTTCCTAGTGACATCTTTTGTTGAAAGTTTCTCATACAGAGCCTTAAGCTATGTAAACGCAATAAGTATCCTCATCTATGCTTAATGTACTGTTATCATTCAGATGAACAAAACCTAAAATATATCTTGGCTCCCAGATTTTCAGTTACCTACAAGAACTTAAAACCTGGGTGGTGGTGGCGTCAGGTCCTGTTACTGATTCCCATTTGGTTCCATTTGTGTCACTTCTCATTAAATGTGCCTGTCTTCAGAAAGACACCATTTTAGGGACTTCACATGTATACTTTACAGTTGCTCCTTGAACAGCGTGCAGGCTGGGACACAATCGAAAATCTGTGTATAACTTTTAGGGGCGCCTGGGTGGCTCAGTTGGTTGAACGTCCGACTCTTGATTTCGGCTCAGGTCACGATCTCACAGTTCATGGGTTCGAGCCCCACGTTGGGCTCTGCACTGATAGCGTGGAGCCTGCTTGGAAATTGTCTCTCTCCCTTTCTCTCTCTGCCCCTGCCCCGCTTGTGTGCACTCTCTCTTAAATATTAAAAAAATTTAAAAAGAAATTAAAAAAAAGAAAATCTGTATTTAACTTTTGACTCCCCCCAAACATAACTACTGATATAGACTACTGTTGACCAGCAGCCTAACCAATAACATGAACACTCGATTTACACCAACTTTGCTTGTTCTGTGTGTCATACACTGTCTTCCTACCATGAAGTAAGCTAGAGAGAAGAAAATGTTATTAAGAAAATCAAAAGGAAAAGAAAATACATGTACAGTCCTGTACTGTAATTATGGAAGAAAATCCAAGCGTAAGTGGACCCGTGCAGTCAAATCCATGTTGTTCACGAGTCAACTATATTTAGTTTCCAAAACAATGCGATGAGATAGGTACCGTTATTACTCTCATTTTGTAACTTAAGAAACGAAGGCACAGAAAGACTAGCTTGTCCCACCTGGCCCAGGTAGTACCTGGAGGATTGGCCCCAAACCCACAGCAAGCACCCAGTAAATGTTCCTTATTATCGTTGTTGTAGTTGTTACTGCCTGATGTATACATTCAATAATGCCTGCTATTGCTGCTAAAAGTGACGAATTTGTGGGTCTAATCCTTCTTCAAAGTGTACAAAACATGGATACGATCCCTCAGTGGAAGAGTTGATTTTGGCAAGGATTATCATCTAATGCCATCAGGTGAAGTTTGTTGGGAACTAAGGTGCTACCCCAGCACCAACGGTCACCTCCTCAGGTAACTCGTTAATTGCAAAGGTGGAGAAAGTACCTTTACAACGAGAGCTCCCTGGAGTGAGGTCGCTACCTTGAGCCATAATCAAACTGAGAATCCCAAATAGACGGACAACCTGGCACTATGTGCCTCCTGATGAGATGTGATATGGAGCAGCCTGTAAAAAACGCTTACTCGAAATCTAATCAATGTGTTAGTCAAAGCTTGGAGTTTACAGGAAATACAGGGGGCAGAGGAGTAAATTAAATGACACCATGAGGGAACAACAAATCCAGAACATGGGGCATTCTACAAGATAACTGGTCTAACTCTTCAAAAAAATCCAGTTATTAAACAAGAAGACGTAAAGGCCGATTGTAAAATGTGCTTTTCTTTATAAAAATTAGATCCTACTTTGTTTTTAAAGGTACAGAAGGTGTTTGGAGGTCAGATGGTGAAGGTTAGATACGGTCTAAATATTAGATGATATTAAGGAATTAGAATTCATCTTCTAGGTATAATGTTAGTATTGTGGTTATATAGGAGAATGTACCTATTCTTAGATGTGTACCCAATTATTGAGGAGTGAAGTGTCATTTTGTCTGCAACTTACAAGTACTTCAGAAAGAAATCCAAAAGGATGGAACACATATGGTAAAAAGATGGCAGTTGGTGAGCCTAGCAGGCGAGTCTAGAGGTATTCGTTATACTAATACTTCAACTTTTCTTTATGTTTGGACAATTTCCCTCACTTTCTTCATAAAATGTCTTACATCATCTTTGGAGAGCATATAAGACTTTTATCTTCCTGTACTTAGTAATAATTTCTTTTCATTCTCTATAATGTTTGTCAGTGAATGCATATTTAAAAAGAAAAGTGTTTTTAAAAATTGCTTACTGACTGTCTATTGGCTCAAGCTTCTTGAAACCTAATATTAACATTGTTGAAGAGAGCTCAGTGCCTAATACAGGGTCTAATACATAGCAAATGCCCAATACATGTTTGTAATGCTTACTTGTTAAATTTATTTTGTTCCTGAGAATTTTAAAGTGGCAGGCGAAAGGAAGAAAGAAAGGAAGAAAGAAAGAAAGAAACAGGGAGAGAAAGATGGAGACACATGAGGCTGTGCTGATCCTTTACAGATCAAGATATGCTTTAGCAAATACTCAAAATGGACAAAATGGGGGCCAATCAACCCCATCTTTTGATTCAAATAACTTAGGTCTCAAAGATTCTTGACCAAATTTTGAATTTGTTTCACGAGGGTATGAAAATGAAGAGTCTATCCCTAGGATGAATCCAGCAGCAACTAACTGTTACTTGTTTAAGAATTGGTATTATTCTCTGAGAATCATGAAATTTGTGGGAATCGAGATCAACTTCACCTCTTCCAGAAGGCAGCGGTTCTAAAGGAGATGGTTTCAGGCAGTAGGGGACATATATTTTATATAAAAGTGGAAAGACAATGACCAAGTTTCAAAGAAATAATCCATAATGATATAATTTTGCATTTTCATAGTGCCTTTTTCCCAAGGCACTTAACATCTGTGCGAACTCATTTATTCTTATAGTATCCCTATGAAGTAGGCTCTATGAAGAGCAACTGAATTAGGCTTATGAAAGGAATTTCATCAGGACCTAAGATGCAGAAGATATTCAGAAGAATATCATATAAGCAATGGAGGTATTACTCATATTGATAGTGAGCAAATTGATAGCCTCCCTCCCCTCTGTGTCAGTAAAGTCATTTTAAAAAAGAACCTATCACAATTTAGGGAAAATAAGATTCCTGTTTACTACATGAGAGACACTCCAAGTCCAGTCTAAAAAGGTAGTTTTATTCAGTGACACAGGCCTCTGTCTACAAAAAACAAAGTTCTTGAAAAGAGTCCAAATAATCATTTTTCAAACTTGAAATCTAAATGCACTTAGATGGTTCTAGATTTACATGGTGTTCTTTGTTTAACAGTGGATCCTTTTGTAAAGAGGTTTGCTTTCATATTATGTTATAAACATGAAGTTTTATAGACAATGTTGGGTCTACTTATAAGCAGAATCTGCTTATATTAAATGTTCTTTCTGAAACCAAAAATAACAAACAAAAAGGTGACCCAACTAAAGAACGAATCAGTCGATGATAAATGCAGTCGTGTAGAACAAAAGATGCTTTGGCCTGAGGATTCCCACCCTCAGACGACATAACATGAGCACATGCGATCTTTTCCATTGGATTTTTAGACCCTAAACATTTCCCTCTTAATTTATCTGGGGATGTGTGTTTTCAGTACCGTGCAGATGAAGTTACACATACGCTAGTAACAAGGCCTCATTCCAGGCACGTAAACACGGTATTTTTAAGTTAGGGGAATCCTTGGTAGGTATACTCAACCCTCATTTTCAGGAGCAGTTGGGACAGAGAGCATAAAGGAGTTTGTCTTCAGACTCGATGCCTGAACTGGACACCATCCTAAGGACATGGCGCTAGTTATCAATAAAGAGACAAAGATTGACGATATTCTCTCAAAACCTATTTCACTGTAAAGTTTTCTCTTTGTAAAGAAATCCAAAGTGGTGTTCTTTGTAAAGGGAAGATGAATATTAAGAGAAATAGAAATGTAAGTAAGACAGCAATCCTGGCCCCATCGTGCCAACGTTCACTCATTTCTGCACAGCCCGTCATCCCCACCTTCAACAGGGCTTGAATGCTGACTGTGGAAAGGGAGGATTTCACCTCTGTAATGGGTCTCAAGTCTCTCCCTGGGGTGGCTCAGAAGCCAATTAGTGGAGAATTTTGTGTGCTGGGCTAGGTAAGGAACAAGTTCCTTTGCTGGAAATTGAACCCCATCACCAGAAGCAGTGAGAAGGCCAAAGATTCACAGACCTTTGCTGATGGACCACAATGTGAAAAAGCAATATTTAGAGAGCCCAAGGGATTCATTTTAATTCAATTTGACTCACAGAGAATATGCTGCAAATTGTAAAACTGTTCGAGATCTCTAGAGTATATGGCCCGGTGTTGTATAATGACATACCTTTTTGAAGAGAAGAGGTTGAGTCTATGTCTTGGCTTTGACACCAAGTTAATAGAATCCTCTCTTGCAAGAAGGAAGGTGAAGTCTCACGCCAAATTACTGCATGTCAGAGTACAGGTCCACCTTGTGTCTTCCAAGGACTGCATTAAAACAGGGTACAAGCTCACAGATCCATTAATAGTGCTTCCTTCTCTGCCTTATTTCTTACTCCCTCCTCCAAACTACCCCCCCCCCCCGTTAGCCCTGTAGTCTGTAGGCAAACCACACAGGAACTAGCAGATACAAGGGCTACAGAGAGTTGGGCGTGAGCCTTAGATTATGCGGTTTTGTTTTCTTGCTGCCAGAGTTGAACTAAAATGCAGGAGGTTCTCTGAAACACTTTTGCTTCTTTTTGCTTGGTTTCAATTTTAGCAATTTCCCCCCCCCCGAACAATTATGTTCACATAAGAAAATCTCTAATCCTAGCGATGATCCATCAACAAAGCTGCTGCTGCTCTGAAGGAAAGCTCCCATTTTCTCTTAGTACCTTGAAGAAGCCAGAGAAAAATTAGGACTTCTCCGGGGAACTTATTTAATATCACCCTGCGATCACTCACAAAGTTAAAATCCCAGCGAAAAATGCTTTCTTAGTACGCTCAGCCCATAATATTCTTCTTAGTCCATAACATTATCCTTAATGGGGGGAAGAAAAGAAAGAAAGAAAGCAAAAGAAGCAGCAGTTTTGAGCCAGGATTAGTTCCAACCCCAGTTTTGCCAGTCAGGCACGAGCTGGGACTGGTTACTTAGATTTTTGAGATTTCCCTTTCTCCTGAGTTGGTTGGGCTAAAGGACTTCTAGGATTTAAAGGTTTTTCACTGACCTAAGGTTGTTGTCACCTTTAGCTTCCTTTGTTCTAACCTTAAAATTTGTAAAAAACAAACAAAAAAAACAAACAAAAAACAACGCCCCCCCCCCCTCCCCAGTAGGTTCCCATACCAAGTGCAGCTTGTGAAGGCCTCTTCCTCTCTTTGCTCTTGCTAGAAAATGGATTGCCAACGCTGCATCTTTGCACAAAATAAGAGACGTTGCTACTTGCTACGTAATACCAGTCAGAGTTTAGGGACTAGGCCCAAGAGAAAGAGGGAAATGTTGGCTCACAGGCTCTTCCTAGCATTAATTCCTTGAAGGCTAAGAAGGAGGGAATCATATAAGACTCAGTTTGGGGGCACCTGGGTGGCTCAGTTGGTTGAGCATCTGACTTTGGCTCAGGTTATGATCTCAAGCCCCACGTTCTTTGAGTTTGTCAAGCCCCACGTCAGGCTCTGCGCTGACAGCTCAGAGCCTGGAGCCTGCTTCAGACGCTGTCTCCCTCTCTCTCTCTGCCCCTCTCCACTCATACTCTGTCTCTCTCCCCAAAATAAAAATAAGTATAAAAAAATAATAAGAAAAATAAGACTCAGTTTGGAGTTCTAAAATTTAGACTCACGCTACATTATGAGATGATATCCTTTTTTAACTTTTCGTCCCCTTGTACCTAAATCTTGTTTGAAATTTCCTTTTTTTGGGAGGGGGAGTTCTCCTTGGTTATAATTGCTCAGCAATTTTATTGAAATAGAAAAGAAGAATCTGGTTTGGAATCATCAGCATATTTTGGTCACAGTAGGTGCTCAATAAATATTTATTGAATGAGTTAAAGGAGGTCATTTGCTACTCCCAACTTCTTAATCCAGGATTTTCTTTTTGTTAATGCAAGCTTGTTAAATAATGCAAGTTGTGTCTGATCAGAGTTCCCACTATTTCCACAGGTTATTAAGATAGAATTTTAAAGGTAACAGCAGGTCACGGACTTTAGAACAATAAACATCTCAACGTTGGCCTTAGTGTTCTTCAGTCTTCATGGTCTAAGGACCTTTTTGGATTCCATCATTATACTCAGTAGCTTCATAGCCAGTTTTCAGACACTGAAATCCTCTGGTCACAGTCCTATCCCAAGTCAGTGGTTTCGAAGTTGTTGAACAGTGAGAGTGGGAAGGAAGGAGAAAAGACAAGTGGATAGACAAGTGGATACTGTAGGAAGTATCAGGGTGTTTTCAGCTTGCACTGTAATGAGGAAGCTGCTTTTCCACAGGGTACTACCCCTCGGGGAACAGAATAGAACCCTTTCCCTTACAAGTGTGGGACGGAATGCAGAACAGGAAAATCTCAAAAAAAGAGAAGTTATCTCAATAGTAAGTAATGATCAACAGACATGTTATAGAGCATACTGACAGGAGAGTGAGGCCACTCTACTGATCTATTTCATGGATGCTCTGTAATCGAGCAAGTGCAAAGGCAGAAGCTAAGAATAAAGACTCTAATGCGAGAATGCTGGCACAATCCTGGGACACTCCGAAAATATCAGCAAAATTGGGAGGATTCAAGAATATGTGAAATCTGGACTTCTCCATAATAGAGAAATTTTCTTTTAAAACCATACTCATTTAAAAAATTTCAGCAGTTCCTTTTGAGGGGTCATTGTTAATATCAGAATTTCTTGTACATAATTATGTTTAACTTACCTTTATGGTAAAGGGTGTACTTCTCATTCAGTAGTACAGATTCAGATATTCTCTTTCCATTCATTCAGTAAATAAAGTTTGAATACCCACTCTGCATTAGGCCTGTTCTAAGTGCTGGGAATATAGCAGGGAACCAAACATAGTCCTTGCCCTCCTGGATCTTACCTTCTGGCCGACAGAGAAATAATTACATATATCAGATGGTTGTACTACTATAGAGAATCATAAAATGAGGCAAGGGTTGGAGAGAGTGTAGCTGACGTTGGGGGGGTGGGGGTTGCAATTTTATTGGGAGATCAAAGGACGTTTGAGCTAAGTCCAGAACAAAGTGAGGGAGCCAGGCTGATGGCTCTCTGGGGAAATAGCTTTTGCAGGTATAGGGACCGGCAAGTGCAACGCCTTATGGTGGGAGCGAGCTTGATACAATGAGTGAGGAGGAGAGGAGTCAGGATGGAGGTGAGAGAGAGAGCAGGGGCCCGAACACATGGGACCTTGCTGGTCATGGTTTTATTCTGAGTCAAACAGGAGCCGATGGAAGATTTTGAACTGGGGAGTTACATGATCTCGCTTGGGTTTTAGGCTTTAGAAGCATCACTCTGATTGTTGTGTTGAGATTAAATCATAAGGGAGCAAGAGGAGAAGCAGGGAGACCAGTTAGGAAGCTACTGCAAAAGTCCTGGCAAGAGAAGTCAGCAACTTAGGACAGGTGGTAGAGAGTGGAGGTGGTGGGAAATGTGTGGATTCTGAATATACAGGGCGACCACAAAGTCTGGAAACATCAATATTATTACTTTACTGTGAATTACACTGTGGCATTGATGAACCATTTATCACCTACCAACCTCATATTACCCAGACTTGGTGGCCACCCTGCATTTAACGGTGAGCTGATGATAAGATGTGAAATCTGGGCGACAAAGAGGGGTGTCAATGGTGACTCCAAGGTTCATGGCCTGAGAAGTGAGAAGCAAGGATGTGTCATCACTGAGATGGGGGAACAAGCTTGGAAGATCCAAAGTTTGGTTTTGGACATATTAAGTTTGAGATGTCTATGAGAAAGACCAGTGGGGATGTCAAGACAGATATGAGTCTGGAGGTCAGGAGAGGTTAGTGCTGGAGATAAAAACTTGAGAGTTGTTGAGAGAGATGGAATGTATTTAAATTTATGAAACTGGATAAAGCCACCCAGGGAATGAATATTGATAGAGAACAGACCCCTTCAAAGTTGAGAGGTCAGAGAAATGAGAAGGAACCAGCCAAGGAGATGACAAGCAACGAGATCCTAGAAACCAAGTGAAGAAAACTGTTCACTTTTACAAAACTCCAAGTTCAGGGGGGAAAAAAACCACACCAAGTCATAATTGTAAAACCGTGTATTTGGTGAGCTACAGTACTGCACCTAAATTATGGTGCCCCCAAATGGAAGAAAGCAGAGAAGGGCCTCTCACATTATGTCACTTTAATGAAGTTAATTCCACTAGGTAGAGAACACTTTTTAGTTTTGCTGAACCTAATCAACTCCCTTTCAAAGACATCCAAAGATCCATTCCAAAAGGAGGAAATGAATGGGTTTGAAAAGGAAAAACTGGGATCCAACCTTTTCAAACTGCAACAGGTAGACTTGTGACTGAGAATGTCAATGGAGGGACGCCTGGCTGGCTCAGTCGGTGGAGCATGTGGCTCTTGATCTCAGGATTGTGAGTTCGAGCCCCACATTGGGTGTAGAGATTACTTGAAAATAATATTAAAAAAAAAAAAAAAAGAGGGGCGCCTGGGTGGCTAGGTCAGTAGCCGTCTGACTTCAGCTCTGGTCATGATCTCACGGCTCGTGAGTTCGAGCCCCACATTGGGCTCTGTGCTGACAGCTCAGAGCCTGGATGGAGACTGCTTCGGATTCTGTGTCTCCCTCTCTCTGCTCCTCCCTCACTCATACTGTCTCTCTCTCTCTCAAAAATAAATAAACATTAAAAAAAAAAAAAAAAAGAATGTCAATAGAGCTCAACATCAAAGACCAAAAATTGGTCCTTGGGGTAGAGGAAAGGGCATAGATTGGACACTGAAAATTTGGGTCAAGTTCCAGCCAAACAGCTTGCTAGTTGAATATCTCTGGGCAATTTGTGTAACCTATTTGTTCCTTCAAACTCAGCTCAAGTTCAGCTCTTCCAGGAAGACTTCTCTAATTATGTAGATTTAGACAAATCCTCTTTTTTACTCCCCAAACATTTTTATCACAGCAACTTATTATAATTGCTAATTTATTTTTGTCTTTTTAATTAGACTATTACTTCTTTGTATTCCCGTAGCTCAACATCGTGCCTGGCCCTTAGCAGGTGCTCAATAATGTAGAATGAATGCATGTTCCCCAAACTCAACTTCCTCATTTGTAAAATGGAATAATTATACCTACTTTTCAGAGTTCCTTTGAAGTTTACATAAGATATGCCTAGAAAAAAAATCTTCATAAACTATCACTCACTATATAAAATACTTGCTGTTTGTCCCCCACTGTTTTATAGAATAACAGTTTAGCATGGCATTCAAGGCCCTGAACAATCTGTTTCTAGGCTACCTTTTTAATTTCCCCCTGGCTACTATCCTCACTCCTCTAAATGATAGCCAGCTAAGCAGTGTTATAAAC